AATAAAAATACCTGCCCAGTTTATTTCACAGTGCTGTATTAGGAGCAAAGAAGTGAATCCATGTGAAAATCATACTAAATCAGCTACATTAAGTGCAGACACAACAGAGGGGCAGAAAGATGCTATGTGACACCAGCCATACCTGCTGGTCAATTCCAATCTCTTCTCCTACTGGCCACGCAGCCATGGAGTTAAGGCCGAGCCTCATTTATTCACCAGGTAAAGTAAGGAGGACATCCTTCAGCTTGCAGAATTAGGAGGGTGAATGATAAACATGTCTGAAAGTCCTCCAAAATGCTCATTTCCATCTTTTCTAGCATTAGTAGTATTCCTTCTTCCTATCTTAGGACAGAATAAACGTAAGATCTTCAAACCAAACCAAGGAGCTCAGACCAGCGGAAAGGAGAGCAGGAGTAGAACAAGGAGAGAGACCATCAGGGCACATGAAGAAATGAGATGTGAACCAAACGTGAAGTCAAGAGCGCACGAAGAGGACGTCGAGGTAGGCGGGGCTCGTGCAGGGAAGGCCTCTTACGCTGTTCAAGGCGTTCAGCATCTTCTAGGCCAGTCATTTCCAGGATGGAATCAAATGTCACATGATCAGAGTGGGCATCTGAGTGGAGGAATCATCTAGATTATACATAGCGTGACTCAGGGGGGCAGGGAAAGTCCCGTGATCCCATACTTAATTTTGCGTATGTTGTCTGACGCTGGGAATTGCCCCATTCAGTGACCCCTTCCTCAGCACATCAGGAGGTGCTGTGGCATCCGCAGGGCAGCCGGAACTCTGGGGAGCCAGGGGTGGAGGCCGGGAAGGTGGTAGCTGGTAATCTGGGCCAGCTTAGAACAGGGCCTGGACTGAGCACATCACACATGGATATAAATCCACCTTTTATGAGTGGGGTGAAGCAGGGCTGGTATCTGCTCTCAGCAGGCAGTGGAAGGAGCACTGAGCTGAGGTGGATTGGGACTGACAGTAACCTACTGTGTGACCTCAGGGAAGTCACTGAACCTCTCTGGGCCTCAGAGGCCTTTTAGCATTAACCCCATGATTCTATTTTTCAAATACTTTCCTAAGAGTGTAAGAACAAAGGGTGGGTTGATGAGGGCTCTCAAGTGGGGAGAAGAAAGTTTTCACAGAATGGGGAAGGAAGGGTGAGTGGCAAAGAAAGGAGAATCAGACACAGGAGAGAATAAACCAGCCACCTGACATCACCTCTGTGTCTAGTGGGGAAGGGGACAATTTGGGTCATGAGGAATTAACATGGAGCCATTTTTAATTTGGGAGACAGACCATGAGTCACATCCACAAGTACCTACCTGCAAGCACTAAGCGAGGAGTCGGGGATAGTGTGGGGACAAGACAGGTGCAGCCGGTTTTGTGGAGTTTGGGCTCCAGCGGGGAGGACATATGCCCAGTAGCGTCGAGCACTATGGGTATGAATGAAGGGAACACTGAAGGATGGAGAGCTTGGTGGCCCCACTCTTCATTAGTGGTTCTGTCCGAGATGCATCCTGGGAAGAAGCCAGAGACCTGGGTTCCAACCCTCCAGTCATCGTTCCTAAAAGCTAGGGGAAGACTCGAGAAATATCTGATGGGAAACAAATGAACAAGTATTCAGGTCCTTGAGACTCCTGGGAGGGAGAGAGAGCTGAGAGAGAGAGAAAGCGAGATAGGGAGAGAAAGAGAGAGAGGGGGTGAGAGAGAGGCACCAAGGTTTCCTTAATGCCTGATGGCCTTTTCCAGAATTTCTCCTGGAATAGAGAACCTTGAAGATGGCATGAGGCTTCCGAGCAGCAGCCCCGAAGCAGGTGTGGTGGAGTCTACCTGGCTCAGGACAACAGGTGCACTGAGCCCCTTTTCAAAGACTTGAAAAAATCTCAAGGCTTTCCCAGGATTTGCACTAAAAAGAACAAAGTGCCCCTGCCCCTGCCTCCCTTAGGGGATGGATGTTATTTATAATGAGGCAAGGGTTCTTTATAAGGTAGGTGACATCTTTCCTGAGGACAGAGGGCGGAGAGGCTCGCAGCTCTGCAACCAGCTCTGTCCCTGCCTCCAGGAAGTACCTGGAACCTTTTGATCTTGTCCCTCTCCACATTCCCCTACAGCCCAGAAGTTCCAGAGAGTGCAGAGGGAGGGGCTGGAATGACAGTTGGGGCCTCTAGCCCTGTGAGACAAGGCTCTGTCCCAGCCATTTCCTCATCCAACCTGTTGCTTCGAGAGGCAGAGGGCAGCCATCCCCACTGTTGTGACCTCCGGTGACCCAGAGAAAATTTCCTTTATTAGCGGTGACGTCTTTCTTCTTTTTATTAGAGAAAAGAACGATCATGTCTTACTTAAGGACAGGGCGTTTGTCTGTGTGTGTGTGTGTGTGTGTGTGTGTGTGCGTGTGTCTGTGCACGCGCGCGCACATGCCCACATCAGTATCTCAGTAGCAGTGTCTGCAGGCATAATCCTTGCTTCCCAACAGAACCAGTTTGCAGACAGCCAGCAATTCTCTCGAGGAGAAATGGCGGGGGTTGGGAGGGAGAGGGTGAGGAGGGTTATGTCTGGAACAAGTGAATATCTTCCCTTTTCCTCCTACCCCACGCTCACCCATGTAGCCCCAGCAGCTGCCCAGGACGTCCATGCTAGCTCTGCTCAGCCTCCTAGGACAGCAAGGTTTCCCAACAGCAGTGGACTTCCCATTAGCTCACCTGGGTGCTCAAGGGAAATTTCTGTCCTCTTCCACAAACTCATCAAGCATATGTAAGACGATTTTTTGTAGAAGATGACTGGGAAAATCACACTGAGTAAAAAGATACTCACGTACACACTCACTGCCTCCCACGGCCTCCAGCGTCCTCCCCAGCATATCCATGACATAAACACTTGCTCAAGAGCCACCTAGATCTATCAGAGATCCAGTCTTTCCTTCACTGAATGGTTAGCAATATAAGGCTTTGAAATCTGCTCATTTGTTACTCTTCCAAGTCCTCAGACTGATCCAAGGGCATGTTCCCACTTGGTTTTAGTCTAACCAAGTGAGGGAAGTGGAGGAGGGCCTTTTAAATGCAAAGAGAATTGGGTGCACACCCCCAGGGGGCTAGACCCTCGATCTTGACCCCCGCCCCACCCAAGAGCTTCCCTCTCTTTGAGGTGAGAAAGATAAATCTGAGCGTAGGAAATTGCAGCTCCTGCTCTGACACAGGGAATCTGTCCACATTTGCATCACTTTGAGGATAATCACCTCAGTACGAAGAAGCATGCGCTAAGAAGCTAACACACGAAAGAACTTGCTGAAGAACAGTAAGTCTTCGGTAAAATTGTCTGGCGTTCTTGACAGTTCCAGGCAGGGCAATCTTTGGTCTTCTAATCTATATCTCTTGCCCTTAACTTTTTGGTCTCAGAATTCAGTTAAATACAGTGTAACGTCTAAAACCAAGAGGTGTGTTTAAATCGCTGATCTTAAGAGGCATGGACTTGGATTTTGAGAGGAGTCTAACACCCACTGGAAACCTCCCGTGGGGCAAGTGTCTGAAAAGGGAAGCGGCTGACCCAGGAAGACGAGGACTCCCGTTCTCTGTTGAGAGAACACGCTCCATCGGCTGCCCTGAACTCTCCGGGGGTGGAAGCCGGAGCTTGGCTTTTACCAGGAATGGCCCCAACCTTGAAAGTCTGTCTTTCTTACTCTTAACCTGAGGAATTCGTGTCGCGTCGCAATCTGTGATAACGTGTGTCATGGGACAGAGCGTATAGGTTTTGTCTTTGCTTTTTTTTAAAGGTCGAGAAAGAAAAAAAATCATGACTGACCGGTGGCCAGTCAGAAAGGTGAGAGACTCAGGCTTTGAAAACGGTTCGCAGTCTGCCCTTTAACTTCCACGCCCTCCCTCCGGACTGCTAGGGAGCAGACGGTTCAATTGACTCCTTTTGTATCAGGTTTTATTACTCTGAACCCCCAGGGTCTCAGAAGAAACATGCCCCACTGAGCTGCTCTCCGAGGCAGCCCCTCCTGTGTCCCCATTTCTTTCTCCGGACGGGGTAAGGGAGGGGAGGCGAGTCCGGCCGCGGAGCCGGCTCGCTGGCAGCGGGCGCCGGGCACCAGAGTCCGGCTCCTGAGCGGCCGGACTTCTGGAACGCCGTGGGAGCTGGACCGCGTCGCCTTTCAACCCCACCCGCACACACTGTGCAAACTTGACAAGAGTCCTTGAAAGGTCCGGTGATGAGACAGAAGCCCGGAACGGAACCCAGGCCGGAGGCCCGCGCGCGCCCCGGGGATGGGGGTGGTGAAATGCACCAACACGGACTGGCCAGGCTGCAGGCAGTTTCTGCGCCAACCCCCGAGGAGGAGCGAGCTCCGCCGGTAATCCGCTTCTGCCGTCTAGGCCGCCGGCAAGCACCTCAGGACCTTTTGTAGCTGCGCGAAGACACCGCACACCGCTGCCCCAGCCTCCGGACGGAAGGACCCGGCTCTGCGCAGCGCGCGCGGGCAGGCGGCGGACGCCTCGGGCCGCAGGTGCCCCTGGAGCCCCGCGCCCGCAGGTACAGGAGGGTCGCCAGAGGAGCGGGCAGGGAGGGGCAGGAGGAGCCCCAGGCCGCCCAGGCCCCGCCTCTTCTTCGCCCCGGGAGCTCCCACAGGGAGGAAACCCTCCCTGGTCCCCGCGCTGCCGGCCGGGCCTCCCTGCCCCCTCCCCGCGGGCACCCCGCACTCGGTGATTGGCTGGCGCCGCGGGTCCCTGGCACGCGCCTGTGGATGTAGTTATAAGAATCCTCGCGTGCCGGCCCTCAGCTTCAGCGAGTCGGCCACAGCCCTCCCCAGCGCAGCGCGAGCGCTGGCCAGAGCGCAGCGGCCGCGGGCACTCCAGGGAGGCCCGGGGGCGGGAAGCAGGCGGGCGGTCCTCACTGCCTCCCACGCCAGATCCGGGAGGGCGGGGGCTGCCAGGCAAGCAAGAACTGCAACATCCAACTCACAGAGAATCACCTTAGGCCAGCCGTCCCTCGGCCCGCGGCGGCGCAGAGCATGGACGCGGTGTTGCTAGAGCACTTCCCTGGGGGCCTGGACGCCTTCCCGTCTCCTTACTTTGACGAGGAGGACTTCTTCACCGACCAGTCCTCTCGGGACCCTCTGGAGGATGGCGATGAACTGCTGGCGGACGAGCAGGCCGAGGTGGAGTTCCTCAGCCACCAGCTGCACGAGTACTGCTACCGCGACGGGGCGTGCCTGTTGCTGCAGCCCGCGCCCTCGGCGGCGCCGCACGCGCTCGCCCCGCCGCCCTCGGGGGGC